AAAGCGGAAATAATTAAGAAAGAAATAGTTGGGCTAAAATGGAGATAAAATGAAGAATAGTGGTAAAAGTGTCTCGAACCCAAGACCTCACGCATAACAGACCCACACTCCAACCACTACACCATGCTTATTCATTAGTTATATCTATGCTTCAATTAAGATAAGAGGGTAAGAAATGATTAAGTTGGGCTTACAACTTAAGTCCAGCCCGAATTTGTTAGAGAAGATGAGGGGTTTTGAAACCTAGGTTAGAAACAAAGGCAGTGCCTCTTCTTTCTCAACTCCAAATATGTATGTTATCTCCTCTTTCCAGTACCTGTCTCTCTCTCTCTCCCACGCGATCTAATTCCTCTACCCATTTCTCACGCTAATCTCGCGCTTGGTTCTCTGCCTCACAAAATTCTCCGTATTCACAAACACACAACAATGATAACGACTCCATAATTCTTGCGATTCACTAACTCAATCGCATATCTTCTGTGAACCAACTCTGGCAATATCAAACCCCCATCTCTTTTCCTATCTTCCAGTCAAGATCTCTTTTAACCGCTCATAAATAACAACTAAATCTCTTACCCTGTTTCAATCAGGCTCTAATAACAGCAAAAAGTTCTCATATTTTAGTTCTCAAGAATGAAATAAACAATCTGAATCTTTCTCTCTTAGTTTAACTATTTCTCTAATCTTGCTTTCCTTTTTACGATACCTTACTCCCTCTTCTGTAAAACTGGAAGAAAAAAAAGGGACGACCAAAAGCTCACTATGATTACTCCCTTCGGTGCTATACTACAACAACAACTTAAAAATGACTCTCAAATGCTCTTTTGCTCATGGAACTATTACTCCCTTTGTCTCGTTGTTGAACTTGCGGTTATTCCACTGGTCATGGAACATCGACCAACACGTGAAGGTACACAAACAACATATAATGCTTGTCTATAGAAAGAGGTATAAAATGAAGAAAACATAAGGTAAATAAATGAGGTATGTTACCAATTGATTCTTCTTCCTCTGAGTTTGTTACATTGCTTGTGAATGTATTTTGCACATGAAGTGTGTCTGCGACCTACGCTCCGAATTTGCTACTTCTTCTAAATTGTTAAACATTGTTAAACATTGTGGATTTATTGCTTTTTACAAATGTGTTGACTTGTCGAAAATGTCGATGCTTGATATTGTTGCTGCATGTTCAATGAAGAAAATGCTACCAAGTTGTTGATTTGATAGTGTTGTGCAGATTATGGTGATGATGTATGAAGGTTGCGAAACAAAGTTGTGAGCAGAGGTAGGTTCTAAATTAGGATTTTTCTGTGAGATTTATGGTATGACTCGACAGAAATTTGAGGTATTATTTTTGTGTGAAAATCGTTGGTTCTTGGAGAAAGTTTAGATGAATGTTTAGGCAGACCTTTTTTTCAGATTTTTTTTCAAACAGTTCTTAAGTATTTTTTATCTCCCTATATCTTTGGACCTCCCCCCCCCCCCCTTTCTTTTATTGTGTATCCAATGTTATATAGACAAATGATAGAGTTTTAGGAGGGAATTTTTGAATGGCTTTTGACAAATATGATGCTCTGGTTTCTGGATTTTTGATACAGGTTTTGTGCTTTGCTTATTTAGTGTATATCTTGGCATGTTTTAGACTAGTTGTATGAAGGTTTTTGGAGAAGCAAGGTGCAAATTTTTTTGGTTGTCTTATGGGTTGGTACAATATGGCAGTTTTGACATCAGGCTGCAGGTTTAGGGGCAGCAGCAGGGCTGTTTTTTTTTGGCTTTGTACTGGACTAATTTTGGACTGTTATGTGACAGTTTGTTTGGCATTATTATGAGGGCTTTGACAGTTTTATGTAGTGATGGGTTTGGATGGAGACAAGGCAATAGCATGGTAAAGTGGACAACAACAAGTTACAAAGTGGATTTACACTTTTTTCTGGTTTTAGTGGCACCTGGACAACAACTCAAGGCTTGAAGTTTTTTAGAACTAGGTTTAGGCTTACCATGTAGTTCCGTGTAATGATATTGAAGAATTTAGCATTAGGTTTTGTATAGTTTTTGTAAATATTTCAAGAAAGTAAGATTATCATCTCGTAACTTGTATATTTTGAAATTATGAGTGGAAATTGTGTCCTAGTTACTTGAATCAAACTCTTGGATCACCTTGTATGATATTTGTATTCTCTGTAGAGAATTTGTTCTTGTAAAATTTGAAAAGAACTTGAAAGAATTGATTCTTGTGATGAACATAATGATGTGTGCCGTTTAGAACCATGATGAATGCCTTAAATTTCAAGTGGCGTGAACTTTATATACTTGAATTATTCCTTTGAGATCAAGGTGCACATTTAAATTTTGGTAAGATAATCCACATGAATGGATTTGAATGAATTTTGACTTTTGATAACTTAAATTCAAAATAGTTCACATGAATGGACTTTGAACTCTTATATTGAATTCCAAGTAATTCTCTCGCATTATCTTTTGTTCTCGACTTGAATCAAATTCTTGCACAAAATGAATACTTAAGAACTTGATGTCATTTGAATTCAAATCCATTTAAATCTCTATGAATCAATTTCAAATTGACTTGTACCTCAAGAAACTTGGTTCTAATTTCACATGACAAACTTCAAATCCTTATTTTTTAATTCTTGAAATCAACTTGCAAATTGAAGTCACAAGTATTTGATGAAAACCAAAAATTGCATCGATCAAAATGAGTTGCAATTTATACTTCAATCCGCCATAATGAACAATGCCTTTGAAGAAACTTATTATGACATGAGTTGAAAGTAGAAGTTGAGAATATTCTAAGTCAAAATATGACATATAACGTTTCGGTAAATTGCACGGCTTTCCAAGTGTAATTCGAATTTGATCTTTGAAGCAATCTCATAGACAATGCTATTTGTGATACTTCGCAAAAAGAATCGCTTCAGAACATTGAAAAATGAGGAAGTCATGATCCTCGAAAGTTTGACAAGATCTTCTTGGAATTAGGTCAAATTCACAAAAGGATCTCTAAAGTATTCGAATTTTTGATAATCCTCCGCACATAATCAGCTCTTGACTTGTAAAGAGAAGTTAGAGATGACATCAAGGAGAACCACTCAAAAATATTGAATAATGAAGAAGTTACAATCATTTGAACTTGATCTTGAAAATGTTGACTTTTGGTCAAAGTGCTTTGAATTGACTTATAAATTTGATCTTTCCTCGCATTCCCAGACATATTGATGCACACATGGACCAATGATGATGAAATCTTGATTGTACTTTTGAGATTAGAGGCTAAGCTTTGATGATGTAGTCTTTGAGAATCAGTGATCCATCATACTTGAACACTTAAGGGATCTGAAACCCTAACTGAGGCGCAATGCTTGATGCTTTTGATTCGGACATGTCCCTGCACATGAAAACTAAGAAACAAAACATACACCTTGTATTTGATTAGATGTTAGTGATGCATAAGATAAGATGTTCGCAACACTTGATAATCTCTGCATAAGCAATGCTCGAAGGTGAGAGGGTTAAAAACCAATTGTATCTTATGACCTTGATGATATATGAGAATGTAAATGAAGGTGGGATCTTAGGTAAAAAAATTGGGGTATGACATGGTGCAATAGCAATGAGTTGAGAAAATCGATGAAGAATTTGAGATAATCACAATATGATTTCCACATACAATGCTCTATTTTATTCTAGAGAAAAAATAAGTGAAAGGATGATGATGACCGATATAGGAAGACTTCTGATATAGTGGTTATAATTTTTTAGTGATTAGATGAGAATACCTATAAAATGTTAACACTCCAATACGTAAGTCAATATTTGAAAAAAATAAATCTTTTATAAATGCGAGTGTAAAGAATACATAAATATCACAATGATCACACTTATATAGAGGAGATCATTAGAATTGTTTTCAATTTGTCCAACATGAAATAATGACCATGAAATATAGAATTCTTTCTCCGTTTTAAAATGACTGTCGTTTTAACAAATAAAGTTTATTTTAAAATAACTGTTATTTTCACTTTTTAATGTAGTAATGATTATTCTTTTTTCAACAATGTCATTTACTTTTTATTTTTGACACTACTTTCAATACATTAATAAGATTAATTTTATAAAAGTGTAATATTTTATGACAATATTATTTTATTCATTAATTTGTGTGAAAAACCTTAAATGATAGTCACTTATAGAGAAAATTTTATAAGAAGTTGTACTCATGTTCTTGTTGGATTAAGCCTATATTTAATAGGAAAGCTATTCTTATATACAAGTAAACCCTTTATTAGCATATCGATTGATAAAAAAAATCAGTTGGCATACGGTGGCTTTTTTCTAACCAATTTTGATAAATGAAATAAAAATTGGATAAATTCCACTCATCCACCCAACAATTAAACACTTGGCCATCCTATTTCTATTAAAGATTCAAAATATTAAATAAAACAAATGCTGAGTAATCTATATTAATTTCTCCACATGTCCACACCTTAACTTTCGAAGTGTCAATTTTAAAAACAGACACTTTTGCCAACTTGCCAACCTTAACCTAACATGTTCCATCTCTTTTTTTTTTCCATCCACAAAAATTGTATGCCAAATAAATTTTTGAGCATTACTAGTACTTTTACAGTTTTACTACATTTTCTGCATGAATTATTACTTATGAATATTTTTTAATTATAATTATTTGAATACGACATTTTCTGCATGAATTATTACTTATGAATATTTTTTAATTATAATTATTTGAATACTGAAATTTTTTAAACTAAAAAAAACACAACAAAAAACAAAAACAAAAAGTTGAGACACATGTCAATAATTAATCTTTTGTTTGGGTTTGGTTGTAGACTTTTTGAATAAGACCAAAACTAGCTTTACTTTCTCTCTCTCTCTCTAATTCTATTATAACATTTTTCTAGTAGCATATTGAAAGCTCTTCTTTTTCTTTTGCTACTTGGTTGTCATCATAAACAAGAATCATGGTTAGTATTACTACAATCAATCAATGTAACTCCTTTAACATTTTTTTCTAAATATATTCTTTGATATTGTGATATTTTGAGGTGGGAAGTTTGAATGAAGAAGAAATCAAGTGGCCAGCATGGTTGCAACCACTTCTCCAAACAAGATTCTTTGTTCAATGCAAAGTGCATGCAAATTCCAATAAAAGTGAATGCAATATGTATTGCTTGGATTGTATGAATGGAGCTATTTGTTCAACTTGTCTAGCTTCTCATAAAGAACACAAAGTTATTCAGGTAAAAGAAATTCACTTATAATTACTTTTTGTTTTTAAGAATACAAGCAGCACACACACTTCATATTAAAATTAAAAGTGACATTATTAAACATCAAGGTATACCATACCTTATCATCAATAATGTGTGTCTTGTTCATGACTCTATTTGATCCAATTTTGTGATGGTCTAACTCATTTTAATGAATCCTAAAAATGTGTGTCTTTTGTGTTGGTTTCATCGATCACACGTGTGATATTGAGTTGAATGCTCAATTTGCAATTTCAAAGTCAATTATGGACGCCAACTAAAAAACATGGTCTAAGAATTTTTATTTATTTTGACCATAATAATATTGCGGTTAATTTATAGTCTCTAACATAAAAAAGACAAAATATTCATTTTGCTCCCTTAACTATACCTTTGGATTCACATTGATCCCTTAACTTTTTTTCGTGTCATTTTGGTCCCTTAACTTTCAAAATGTTTCATTTTAGTCTTTTTTGTCTAATTAGCTACGAATTTAGCGACTGATTTCAAAATTTTTCCGTCTAATTAGCTACGAATTTAGACAAAAAGAACTAAAATAAAACTTTTTGAAAGTTAAGGGACCAAAATGACACAAAAAAAGTTAAGGGACCAATATGAACTCAAGGGTATAATTAAGGGACCAAAATGAGTATTCTGTCCATAAAAAAAAAGAAAAAACTTCATATTTAATTTTGTAATAATTTGATAGATAAGAAGGTCTTCATACCATGATGTGATAAGAGTATCTGAAATACAAAAAATAGTGGACATAACCGGAGTTCAAACATACGTTATAAATAGTGCAAAGATTGTGTTCTTGAATGAAAGACCTCAACCTAGGCATGGGAAAGGAGTCACCAATACTTGTCAAGTTTGTGAAAGAACTCTTCTTGATTCATTCACCTTCTGCTCCCTTGGTTGTAAGGTACTTTCTTGTGATAAGCATTACACACACATATTAAAATTTTGGTTTCGGGTCACTATTATAAGCAACATTTTTTTTTTACTTATAATAGTGACCGGAGGGTGTATATATTTACTAGTTATATAATTGAATGTCTTTGTAATGTAGTTTTATATAGTTTTTGGTGTGTATTTATTGAATCAGATAATTGGAACCTCCAAGAAAGTTCAAAAGCAAAAAAAGTTGAGTGAAGAAGATGGTTCATATGATGAAGAATCAAATAGTGACAGAAACAAAAACAAAATTCAGAGCTTTACACCTTCAACACCACCACCTTACAGAATAGCTAAGAGAAGGAAAGGGATTCCTCGTAGAGCTCCATTGGGTGGAAGTCTTATAGAATACTTATACTAATTAATAGTAATTAATAAATATCTAAATTTGTGTTGAATTTAATAAAGTTATGGTGTTCCTATAACTTTATCAAAATGCTAAAGATTGGAATCCATGACTCTTTATTTGGACTTTTATCAATTGAGATGTCTTAATGAAACAGTGAACAATAAATATAGCCAAAAAAAATACTCTCTCCGGATATATTACTTATTTAATGTATTTAAAAAGTTAATTTTTTCTTATAAATGAGACCGGAGGGAGTACATTACACAATTATTAAGATGACAATTAATGTGAGATTTTAGATAGTGTTTTGCTTTGTTATATTTTATAGAGTTTACAATTTTTTATAAAATAAGTTTCGATTTAATTTTAGATATTACTAGAGATATTACTAGAGGAAAATAATTTATAAATTAAAAGATAGTGCACTTTTACACTGTTATTTGATAAAAATTTATCATTTAATCATTTTATATAATTTATTTAAAAATAATAATATAACTTATTATTTAATATAATTGTGATTGATTGATTGTGTAAAAAATTTTACACTGTCTGGATATATCTTTTTTTTCTCATAATTTATATCGTCAATTAATTACAATTAAGTAATCATAATTCTTAAATTTATAAAAATGTTCAACTTTTATTAGAGATTGTGATGGATAAATAGTGTTAATTTAAGCATCTTAAGATGTGCATTATTAGATAAAGTGGTTTGTGCAAAAATGAGAGCACGAGTGTGATCTCTAATATTGATGTAATGAGGTTGGTTTTGCATATAGGAGAGAAAATTGTGTGGCGGAAAGATTTGATAGGAATTGTGTACCTTTAGTGTTCGATATCACTGTGATTATTATTATATCTTTTTGGATATGAAATCAGTTTACATGTTTAGACTTTTAAGTTATCTGAACTTGTTTTGAGTCTGACTATGATATTTTAATATTTTCTGTAATTTTTATTTTATTTTTATTTTGGATTTAAAATTCATTAGGATTTTATTTTCTATTTTATTTTTGTTTTGGATTAAAAATTTATTAGAATTTCTTTTACTTTTTTATTTCTATTTTGAATTAAAAACGTATTATTTTGCTTGTTTTTATGTATTTCAATACTTTTGGGCGTGGCCGTTAAGGTTATCTTTGATCATAATAAAATTTAAGTATTTTCTTTTTTGGTGGATTTTAAAATTTTATCTGACAAGTTTTTTTCTTACAAACTTGTGATTTCGTTCTGGGCTTAGCGCTTGCTAGTCCTTCGTGATCTCGACTGCGTCAAGTGGCATCAAAACAGGTTTTCTCCTATTTTTTCGTAGAATGATAGATCATAGGAGAGCAATCATTGACCAGAGCAAAGTTTGAGGGAATTATCACGGGTTTTACCATGACCCTAACTGCTTTGACTGAACATATGGCGACTTTAACAACTCAGGTGAACAACATCAACAACAATGAGAACCAACGAAGATACATGAGAAAGGAACCGATTAGGGTTTCGTGGGTGGAAACAATTGTGTTGTTATTACTAAAAATTTGAGTTCTGAAGAAGAAGAACTCGACGAGGAAGAGATAGTTGATAATGAGAATCGACATAACTAGGATTATCGAGTGAAGACTGATATTCCATTATCCTACAAAACAATGAAAGTGGAGGAATTTCTGGATTAGTAGATCAAGGTTGACATATTTTTCAATGTCATGGGTGTCCATGAGAATAATCAAGTTAATATGGTGGCGATCAGGATAAAGAGTATTGTTGTTGTCTGGTGGGATAAACTTGTTGTTCGTAGACAGAGGAAAGCAAAAGGGCAGGTCAGGTCTTGGTGAAGAATGAAACAATTGATGATGGAGCGATTTTTATCGGAGGATTATGAGCAACTTCTTTATAAGATGTATATTGAGTGTGTTTAGGAAAAGAGAACTGTAATAGAATACACAACCGAGTCCCTGCATTTTTTCTGAGTGTAACGAACTGGGAGAATCGGAGAGGAAGAATGTAGTTAGATACATCAATAGCTTAAAGGGATCTTTGTTGAAGAGGATGAGTTTGCATACTATATAGATTGTGGTTGAGGCATCCAGTCTAGCTTTGAAGACGGAATTTATAGAGAAACCCACTCAAAATTTCTCATCTTTTAGGTATTTGGCCCAAAATAACTTTGAATTAGTAGGCGACAAGGAAATAATATAACAACCAGGGATTACAACCTTGAGAATAAAGGGACTAGCAGTCCTAGGGGTGTGTAGCAGGGTAAAACAACAGTCCAGAGGCAGAATAATTCATATGCTAAACTCACTCGAGACACATGTTATTGTTGTAATGAAAGAGGTCAAGAATTAAATGTTTGTCCAACAAGAAGAGTCGTTGTTGTTACAGAAAAAATGGAAGAGGAAGAGGAAAGGGAAGGACATGTAGTTGAGAACGATGAATATGCAGGAGTTGAGTTTGCAGAGGAATAATATGATGAGAGAGTAAATTTTGTGTTGCATAAAATTTTACTAGCATCTAAAGATGAAGGGTAGCGCCATAATTTGTTTAAAATATATTGTTTTATCAAGAACAAAATGTGTAATTTGGCTGTGGATAGTGGCGTCATGGAAAATCTGGTGTCACATGAATTGGTAGATTATTTGAAGTTGTCCATAAAACACCATGAGAAGTCATACACCTTCGGTTGGGTAAGCAAGGGATCCTAAGTTCAAGTAACACTAGCCTGCAGAGTTCCTATTTCTATCAGAAAGCATTACAGAGAAGAGGCAGTTTGTGATGTTTTTGATATGGATGTTTGTCATATTTTACTTGGTAGGACTTGTAAGTTTGAAAATAATATCACTTATCGAGCACATGATAATGCGGTGATGTTTACATAAGGCACACATGAAATTTCTATGGATCCTGTTTTTCACTTTGATAAGAATTCAGGAGGAAAGAAGTCTTGTTTCTAAGAAAGAAGCTAAATTTTTCTGTTCACTGGTAATTAAAGGGATGATGGGTGTGGTAAAAAAGGAAACAACAATTCCAAAAGAAGTGTTAGGGATCCTGGAGAATTTCAAGAAGTTGACCGCAGATGAATTATCAAACGATTTGCCTCATATTTGAGATAAATGCAAGAAAGTTAAAGATTTCAATGTGAGAAATAATGTGATGATGTTTCTATGTAAGGAGAGGTTTCCAGTTGGTACTTGCAGCAAGTTACGTCCACACAAGTATGGCATGTTCAAAGTGACCTGAAAGATCCATGATAAAGCTTATACGACAACTCTCTTAGATTCCATGAATATATCCAACACTTTCAATATTATTGAGATTCATGAGTATCAAGCAGATGAGACACTTTATAAATAAGAGAACACAAGATTGAGTTCTTTAGAGGTGTAGGATACTAATGTAGGAAGGGTTAGGCAGGAAATGTGCAGGTTTGGCCTCTGATATCATAATGACTATTGTTATACCTTTCCAGATACAAAATCGACTCACGAGTCCAACTATCTACTTTGTTGTGACATGTGAGTCTTTTAAGCCATCCAAATTTGTTTAAACCTGAATATAACATTTTAATATTTTTTTTACAATTCTCTCTTTTATTTCTATGTTGTATTTAAAGTCTATTAGGGTTTATTTTTCTATTTCATTTTTGTTTTTGATTAACAGCCCATTAGGGTTTCTTTATATGTATTTAAAAATATTTGAATGTGGTCGTCAGGGTTATCTTTGATCATAATAAAATTCATGTATTTTCTCTTTTGGTTGACTCTAAGACTTTATTTGACAGGTTTATCGCTTGCAAACTTGTGTTTTCATTTTACGCTTAACGCTTGCTAATCCTTCATGATTTCGACTATGTCAAAAATATAAGCCAAAACTCATTTTTTTTATCGTAGTGAATGAAGAAAAATGTGAGTTGCAATTGAAGAAGCCATAAAATGATTTTTTAACCAGCCATTATGGCCAGTTGAAAATTTTCTTTCCATAAAAGAGTATTTTTATGTTTTCAAATGTTTCAAAAATGTGTGAAAAATATGTGACAATGATTCTCTTAGAGAAATTTAAAAACTACAACAAAATCATATGCATCATGTGTATGAGTATTTTCTTTTATATAGCTAACATTTCTTTCAATTCTAATTAATATAAAATTTAATGACTCATACTTGATTTCGACAATCTTTCCCACAAGTGAGTCATCTACATCACTAGTCCATCAAACTTAATCATAAATTTGATATCACTTATTAGAGAGTCTGGGGTGCACCAGAAGTTTCAATGAGCGAAACGTTCAGACGTCAAAAGACTTTGACACCATATATTCACTCAAAATATTAAGGTAGTGGGAGTATGGATATTTTATCTTATATATCCATTTTTTTCAATTTTTAATTGATGTGAGACTTAACCACCCACATTTTAATTCCAACAATCTCACCCACAAGTTTGAGTCACCCACATCACTAGTCTTGATCTAGACTAATATTTCACTTCATCTCCTCCACCGATCCTAACCAAAGCTTTTATACCACTTGTTAGGGAGTTTGGAAACTGCCAGAAGCGTTAATGAGCTAAACATTCAGGATCCATAAGACCTTGATGCCACATGTTGGGGAGTCAGGAGAGCGTCGAAAGTGTCACTAGGCTAAATATTCCGGATCCAAGATACCTTAATACCATATATCAACCCAAAACCTTACATCAATTGGAATATGGACTTTTTCTCTTATATATTCAATATTTCCCGCACTTCTATTCGTGTGAGACTTAACCACTCACACTTGAATCCCAACATATTTTATAAGATTCCAAAGACCAATTTTTCCCAAAAAAATAATATAGTGAGGGGATTTAAAAAATGTCTCGAGCTCTCAAGCATTTTATATCAAAGCTCATTGTTACCAACACAAGGTGCATATCGAGTGATCGAATTCCACTAGATAGGGATGTGGATATATATGTGTTGTACAAGCAATGTCTTCTAAATATTTTGATTAAGACAACTGAACAAAAAAGAATAAGTCATAAGCATCATCAATCAAGAAGCAAACACAAGACAAAATATTTATAGTTCCAATTGAAAGAGGTAAACAAAGTTAAATCAATAACGAATTGATGTTGTGAAATTGTGAGAGCTCACTGGATGTTGCGCTTAGTGTTTTATCTTATAGTTTGATCATTTAATTACAAATGAAGGAAGATTAATTCTTTCATTAGTTAAAAGATGCATACACACACACACAAGCAGTTAAGATTTCTCATCTTTTTCTTAAAAGATGCACACACACAAGCAGTTAAGATTTCTCATCTTTTTCTTAAAACTTCTTAAAATCAATCCAAACAAGTATTTAATCTATTAAGAAGCTTTATAATCAATTAGAAAAGCAAAACTCAATTTTCTGATCGATTAAGCATTCAAGTCGATTAAAGTAAGATTAACGTCTATTAATTGAATAGATAAACTTGTTAATTAATTAAGTGATGTCACATTTTTTAGGGTTTCCTTTTATGGGTTAACCTAATCAATTAGGTATGTATTCTAATCAATTAGGAAGCCAAATCTCATCGATTGTTGTCTTTTTGAGTAAAAAATTTCCTATATAAAGGAGACTTTTCTCACTTTTCAATACACAATTTTTTCTGAATAATTATCTCTTCCATCTCTCGTACTTTCCTTATTTTTTATGTTTTATTCATTGTCGATTGCCTTAGTTATGAGAGAGTGAAAAGGTTCATCTAAGAGTTATGGTGTTTTAATGTGGTGTTGAATTTATATATTGAGAAGTGTAATTCTCTTGTGATATTGTAATAGATTTGAAGGTTGCAAACTAAACCTATAAAAGTCTTGGTTTAAGGTTGTTGAGCTAAACATTTGTAAAAGCTCAAGGTGTTTGTGTAGGTTGTTGAGCTAAACATATGTAAAAAAATCAAATTTTTGTGTAATGTTATTCGGCTGATCTTGTACAAAAGGTCAAGTCGTTTAAGGTCGTTGAGGTGATCCTCGGTAAAAGTTCAAGTTGATTTCAGTGGAAATCTTAAGAGGACCTTTTTAGGGACTAGAGTATGTTGTTTGGTTTAAGGTTGAATTAAGATAATCTCTGGTGTAATATTTCTTATCCTATCTATTTATATTCTTATTCAGGACCGTCTTTGAGGACGTGCAAGGCGAGCTACCGCATATAGCTCAAAATTTGTCACGCTTAAATTATGGTAAAGTAGGACCTCATGAAATATTTTCATAGTTAAATCATGCTTAAATATGGCATCTATTTATTTTTCCATGGTTAAACTGCGCCTAGTCTACACATGACCTTCAAGATTTTGAGATGACTTTGTTTCTATCTTTTAGCTTTTCGTTGTTATTTATATTTTATGTTGTTTATTCTCTATTTATCCATGCTTCTAATATAAATTGTTTTAAAACCAATCATTTTTATTGAAAAGGTTTTGAAATTCAAATATCATAATTCACCTTATGTCTTGTGTTTGAAGTCACTTGTTCAACAAAATACATTATAACCTAACTCATGTTATAGACTAACTGTTTTAAGAGGCAGGATGGTGACTTCAAATATTTCTTTTAATAAGAGTCTTTATGTAAACAAACTCCGCCATTTAATGGTGGAGGAATTACCATATGGAAAACGAGAATGTAAATGTTTTTAGATGCTTCTGATTTTGATACATGGGATTATGTTTTAGATGGTCCATTTGTTCTACTCATTTTATTAATAATAAAGTAGTGAACAAAGTGAGAAATTTATGGATCATAAAAGAAAAAGTAAAGGTGTGAAAATGTTTTAAAACTATGTAATTGATGATAAATGTATTAATCATTAGAGAAAATATTTGTATTTTTAATTGTAATACTGTCAAAGAAGTGTGAGACACACCGTAAAGGCTCTATAGAGATCAAAAGAGAATGATGAACACACTAGACTAAGAATTAGAGACACGCAATGACAATAAAGTAAATATTCATATATGGTTCTCAAGTTTTAAAGTTCTTGGCAATATTTTCAAAAATTATATCTCCAACAAGTACTTAAGATTTAATGATTGGTGTTGGAAATCTAATGTGGTACTAAAATTTAGAAATACCAATTGTGCTAATAATTTATAGAAAATATCAAATGAGGTAAGATCATCAAAAGTTTAAAAGGAGAAGAATCAAATGAAGAGTAATGCTTTGTAGGGCTAACGACGATGTATAAAACATATATATATATATATATATATATATATATATATATATATATATATATATATATATATATATATATATATATATATATATTTCGCTTCTATAAGGAGATATTGTTCTAAGTTTGAAATCTTCAAAGAAATCTCAATAAGGAAGAAATGATTCCAATTTTAAAATTTTCTAATGATGAGTGGTGAAAAGAATGGAATATGAAGAAATAATCATCCAAATCTATTCGATGATGCTACTGATGATATCGACGATGACAATAAAGACAAACAACCTCTATTTCAAATATTGCGATAATCATATGATTCTCCATTTCATTTACAACAATTATGTTTAAATGCTTTTGGCGACTAATTCGTGTCATTTTGTTAGACATATAAATATTATTATTTTAAAAATATATCATTGTTTCTTTTTTTTAATTACTTAAATAGCATATTGTTATTATTATTAATATTATTATAAATAACTTATGGATTAAATATATGTTATTCTCTGTCATTATAACGTATTTTGATTACTTTTTTGCTTTGTTTTATTAATATTTTTAAAAACATAATATTTAATATATATTAGTTTAGGGCTTAAAGCCCAATATCTTTATGGGCCATACAATTAAAGTAGGTTTTTAATTCAATTGATTATGTGTGTTTTTGTCTTATAAACACTAACTAATATTTTATAAAATTCGATGTGGGACTCTAATATTTCCTCCGTTTTAAAACGGTTGTCGTTTAAAGTTTTTGTATATAAATTAAAAAATGCAATGATATTGTCATAAAACATTACACTTTTATAAAATTAACTCTATTAATATATTAGAAATAATGTAAACAATAAAAAATAAAGAACACAATTGAAAAAATAGTAATCGTTACTATATTGAAAAGTGAAAATGATAGTCAATTTGAAATAATTTTTTTTACTAAAACGATAACCATTTTGAAACGGATGGAGTCTTGAACTATGAGAAAATGCATGTATGAACCGGAATAATTTGTTGGTTCTTTCACGAGGAGTATCATCATGCTCATGGAATATCTTCCTTTAGTACCTTCCAGTGCAAATACTGATTCAGATACCTCGCATACATAATTATTCCAAACCTGAAATTTACTAACAAACAGATTTAATGAGATCCTATGTTATATATCATTTGCAAACAGAGATAGTGAAACATAATACAAAAACTTAGAACTATCCAAGAGAAAAGTTTAGAGATTCTTATTGAATTTTCGATGTGCGACTTAGTTTGTTTCAATAACATTACATGCATGTAACAAGCTAACCATAATAATTAAAGGCTGCTATGAAGAACATATTTTATCTTCAATGCTGTTATGAAGAACTTGTTTCAATAAACATTCTAAAATAGCTTATGAAAACATTTGAACTTTATTATCAAAACTTAACCACGTTTTCGCTTTCACCAAATAAATAACTTATACATACAAGTGTTTGATGATAAATGATTATTGAATAAGTGATAATTAAGTTGTTTTCAAATGCTGAACGAGTAAAACACAAACTTTTCCATTATCCTCTCTCATTCCCTTCCACCTCCTCCTTAGTCATCCTTTTTGCTATTCTTTATCTTCATTACCAAGTTTCACTTATAGTCTATTACACTCCCTGTCCAACCTTTCTTCTTGACTCGTCAAAACAGTACACTCCCTGTCCAACCTTTCTTCTTGACTCGTCAAAACAGTATCAAGCTTGCTTCTGTGAGTCTATCTCTACTTTTTCATATGCTATATTTTGTTGTATTAAAAAGTTTGAATAGAATCTTCATGGTCTCACTAATCATTATATCTTAATATTATCTTGATGATTCTTCTGTTGTTGCATTACCCTTTAGTAACTAGGTCATTCGGTATGAACTTTGAAGATGTTAAAGATGATAGTTAGCCGTTACATTTGCAGAGGATTAAGGTATTTATTTAAACAAACATTTTTGTTGCAGGTTTGTTCAGCTGCGGATTTGTATGCAGGCTTGAAAATACCACTTATTTTAAAACAAATTTCCTTTGCTAAAACAATAATTATTTTGAAACAGAAAGAGTACTTTAATGATCAAAATCGGACAGTTCATTTATTTGTATGCATTGATATTTTATATACATCTTAAAACAATTTTTACTTTTTACATATGAGAAAAAAAAAATATGCCAGACAGTGTAAAATAATCTTTCATGCTGTTATTCGTAGAGTTCATTTTGAAAAATAGCATTATACCAATATATTTAAATGATGAAATGTTATTGAAGTGTGAAACTTATTGTTGCTTTCATTTATATTTATATGGAGGGGTGGAAGTTCATGTAATTGGGGGCAATTGCCTTCCAAAATCAATAAAGACTCCCCCTAAAAATAAACCAATTGATGAAGAAACAAACACTGCAACTTATCTATATACACCACCAAAATATAGGGGCAGCTCAGCTAATAAAGATCCCACCCCCGTGCACTCTGCGGTGTCAGGTGTACGAGTAAGCAGACAAGTTATTTCCACAACTCTGACATGTAACCACCAAGTCTACCAGCACTTGTCAGGTGTAAGCAGTGAACAGAGAAGTTATTTCCACGACTCTGACCTCCAAGTCTGCCACCAGATATCATACTTTGAAATGAATAGGAAAATTTAGAACAAAGGGATGCTTTCCCAAATGTCGGGTGATGTCAAAAAGCTGATTCCTCAGCTGCCAAGCTCTTCACAAGGAAAAATAAGATGATTATTTATCTCTGAAAGAACTTCAAAATAGACAATAAATATAACAAATGAAGATGACTTTCACTTCAAACTATACATTACATACAAGTTTCAGAACTAAACCCTGACCATATCTAGCATGATTTGAAAAACTTAACAATTTAAAACAGGCGGGGATCTATTTGGCTGATGTGATAGCACAAGTGATTGGTTAGTGTAACGTGAGTCCTACTCCTACATGATATTCAGTAGACTCAATATTATATGATTTCTAATTTATCAAACAGGGTAAACAAGAAAAACAGAAAGCATAAACAAAGAATAATGCATTTGAATATCAGAGGATCAACATGCAAAGCAAATGTCTGCCCAAAAACCGATCTTTGAAATCAGCACGCAGTTTGTTACTCCATAACAGTTAATTATATCAACCTTAATTACATGGTTCTTTGACACACGTATGTAACACGTCATAATTTTAACTCTTTTTTAGAATATTAGCAATAACAAATAACAGAAACATTATGGAGTTTGTAACGTTGCTCCAAAAGACATCAAAGCTAAAAGTTTGATTTCATATACCTCGACATTAATTAGCATGCTGCATGCAACACAATCAGTGTTGTCCATGGCGGATGGCGGTCCATGGCGGAGAGCAAAAATCCCGCCATACCGGTCGTTTTGTGGTGCTGCTATAGCAGATTATGGCGGAAAAACCTGCAATATTGACCGATATTTACCATTGCGGCGAGGCTAAAAACCGCCATGTATATCCGCCATAGCGGCCATGATGCCGCTGGTTGATAACACTGGCCAAAAGCATACCCCAGCATGATGTAATGATGGGTGGACAAAATACACAGGATTTGATCATCAATGGAATATGAAGAGCATATTTCCAAGATTTCTTCAGAATATCCTGTTTCTGCTTCCATTATTGATGTTATTGCCTAAACACCAACAGAAAATACCACAGTTTTTCAATAAAGTTTGAAGATACAAGAAATGCATCATAGAAAACTAGATACTAGAAGAGATGAGCCTCTCACCAGCTTGACCATGTCTTCTGTCCAAACCTGTATCCATTTTCCTTCAGTTATATTCAACATGCACAACAGAAACCTAATTTATATTGGTTGCCTCTTCATGAACCCAGCGGATATCCTGCAATGTCGATAGAAAATGCAAAAACAAAAATTAAAGGTCAGAATAAATATGCAAAATGATAAATCAAGGCTCTGGTACAGCTACAGAGCAGTTCTGTTTGAAATACTAAAGCAGGATAAAAACACATTTCAACCACCAAGTGTGTAAAGTTAGTGCTTAATGTTAACAAAAATTAAATTTAAATTAGCCGAGTAAAATGTCATGGAAAAATTATTCTTGTGTTGTTTTGTACTTCATAAAGTTAGGGAGGGAAAATGCGAGACAAACCATTTGGCATATGCTGTCCAATAATTGTAGTGCTTGTTGCCACTTATCAACCTTGATAAGACCTTTGATGAGGTGGACAAGTGTGCTAAGATCTGGAACGACATTTTTACTTATCATGCTAGCATACAGCTCTAAGGCTTTATCAACATTACTTGCACGAGACAGATTCTCGATTAAAGAAGTATATAGATATTTATTGGCAACTGCAAGGCTTGGAGATGATGAAATCTCTTCAAGAAGATTAACTGCAACTTCTAGTCTCCCTGCCTTGATGTAGTTATCAATCAAAATTCTGTAAAAAGAATCAATAGGAACTGATTCATTCTCACTCAACTCGTCTAAAAGCCCGATCGAGGTTATAAACTCTTGGCTGAAGCCCTCAATAATTTTACGGTGACTTATTATATGCTTTGGCCAATATGTTTGTTTCATTTCATCCAAGAGTTTGTATGCTTCATCAAGAAGGCCACTTGAGCAACAATGATTTATCAAAACTCTATAGGTTATAAAGTTTGGAGCACAGCCCTTTGAGCACATATCTCTATAGAGCTCAAGGCATTGTTCAATTTTTCCTAATTTCCCAAAACCATCAATCATTGCAGTATAGGTTACAACATTTGGATTGCAGCCCTTCTCTTCCATCTTGAGCATGAGCTTGTAAGCTTCATCAGTTTTTCCAACTTTACAGAGGCCATCAACCATCTCTGTGTAAATAACAACATTTGGAGTGCAAGAACTTTCTAGCATCTTCGACAACACTTTCAAAACAAGATCCAACCGGTTATCTTTAAACAGACAATCGATTAAAGAGCTATAGGTATACAAATTTGGACTGTATCCACGCTCTGACATTTTTGCAAATACCTCTTGTGCATCCTGAAGCTTTCCAATCTTGCAAAACCCATCAATAACAGCATCGTACACTATATGGTTAGGCTCGCAAGCATGAGCTGACATGGTATCCAACAATTCACGTGCCTCCTTAACCTTGTTGGCTTTGCATAAACCATCCACCAAAGCCCCATATGTAATAACATTTGGTCCTTCAGAGTTGTTGTGACCTAGCTTAAAATACTTGTCCATATCAGAGGATTCTACGTCACCTTGCATTCTGGCGTAGATCTGGCAAGCTTTTTCAATCTGCCCAGCCTTACAATGACCATCAATTAAAGCTGTATATGTAACAACATTAGGCTTGCAACCTTCAAGCAACATCATATCAAAAAGTTCATTTGCATCAGACACTTTTCTTGCTTTCAGGTATGCATGAATAAGTGCAGTATAAGTCACCACATTGGGCGAGCAACCTTCTCTTAACATTTCGTTAAACCATTTGCGAGCCTGCTGAATAAGACCCGCTTTGCAAAAGCTATCAATTAAAATAGTATAGGTGTAAACGCTGGGAACAATGCCATTCCTTTTCATCTCTTCGAACAACGAAAAAGCCTTTTCTACCTTAGAAGCGTCACAAAGGAAGCCAATCACTTTAGAATAAGTACTATCATCTGGGACGAAACCCTTGCCCATCATTTCACATATAATCTTAAAAGCTTTATCAAATTTTCCAGCTCCACAAAGACACCGTGCAAAATTGCTGACATTGACCTTATTTAATACAACCCCTGAATCAAGCATCTCCCTATAAGCCTTCTCCGCGAATTCTAAAATATCCGAGCTAGGCTGTTCCTCATTGCTACATATACTACCGATCAATATATTATAAACCAGATATCCCGGCTGGCACCCACACTTGATCATTTTCTTAAACAACTTATAGGCATAAGAGTAATCCTTTGATTTACAATAAGCATGTACAAGAGAATTAAACATTTCACGATTCGGATAACAACCCTCCGTAATCATCATACTCAAAATTCTCTTACACCTCCCGAGCTGTCCTTTTCTCAAACAACCAGAAAGCAAAATCCTATAAGTGACAACATTGGGAATGCAAGAACTAGAACGCATTCTATGCAACATATCCATCGCTTCTTCAAAAAGCGAAGCTTCACACAACCCAGAAATCATCCTATTATAAAAAACCGTATCCGGCACAATCTCCTCAATCAAATCCAAAGCATCTCTACATTTCCCATTTTTACACAAGGAATAAGCAAAGCAACTAATAGTATACCTATCCATAACCAACCCATAATCCAACATCTCCCTCTTAACCAAATAAGCAGTATCCAACTTATCAGCTCTAAGAAAAACCTGAACCAAAGCATTATAAGTAGTCTGAGAAGGCTTGTACCCAAAATCCTTAAGCCTTCCCATCTCTTCCAAAGCCATATTCCACCACCCATTTCGACAACACTTTCGCACAAGAAAATTCAGCAACCTACGAAACAAATCGCGATCATCATCCCTAATTTCCATCAAAAACTTCGACGGCACTCTATCATTTCCATTTCCAGTGCCATTACACCCCAACAACTCAAGCAATTTATCATAGACTAGTGGAGTATGAGAGTAACCGATTTGCCGACCGGCCCATAAGAAAAACTTTACACACAACTCAGGGCTGTTAACATGATTCATGACGTCTATTACCAGAGACTCACTTAACCTACCACGAAACTGTCTAAAAAATGGATTGGTTTCGATGTCGAAACCGGTTCTGATTGCGTCTGAAATTGAAACAGCGTCGTTGGGGAAGTCACCGGAAGGAAGGGTTTGTGTGGAAGTGGAATTGAGCAAAGTGTTGCGGAGGAAAGCGTAGTCTTGTGATAAATCAGGGGTTGGTGTTGGTGTTGAAAAAGTGGGGTCGGTGGGATGAAGCAAACCGGGGAGAGTGTGTTGTGAAGAAGTGGAGAATTGGAGAGAGCGAGAGAGTAGAGTTTTCAACTCTCTGTTCCTCCTCATACTCATGAAAATCAATCAAATTCAGAGGGGTTTTGATTTAGGGTTTAAGAAAATGTTCAGAACAAAACCCTCAATGTTGGAGAAAAAGACATCGCACGCCCATTTTTTTCCGGTAGCATTCAAAAATTATAAAGATTACATGCTAATTTGTTTTGGAAAATGATTATTACTCATTTGTTTTAAGACTTTATATATTTTAGTTTCTTAATTTAATTTAGATTTAATTGTAATTTATATTTTTTTTACTTTTGATCCTGTTATTATAAAAATTTGGATTTTAGTCCTCCATTCAATTTTGGATCAACTTTAGTGAATTGGCATTTTCATTAATCACCTGTCAAATTTTATTCAATCAATTTTAATTTTCACGCACGAATAAGCATTTATAAGTTAAGTAAATTTTATTTATTTCAATAAAATTATTATTATTTTATTTTTATTATCAAAATATCATATTATGAAACTCAAAATTAGGTTATATTCAGATTAAGTGACTTACAAAGAAAGCTGAAGAAGAACCCTAGAAGACCCACGGTTGCAAACATGACGCCGACGAAGACGAACCCTAAGTCGCCATCGCCATCGTAATCCAACTTGTTCGTGTTTCTATGCATGTGAAATGTTAAACTCAACTTATGTTTTGAGGTAGGCACATTTGTGGTAATGATTTTGAGTTTCTATTAATGTTTCGAATGAGATTGATGATTCGTTAGATGTTTTGTGGTCTTAAAGTTTGTGAGTTATTTATGTTTACGTATGTGGTCCCTGTTTACGTTTGTGGTCCCTGATTACATTTGTGGTCTCTGTTTATGTTTATTTTTGTGGTCCCTGATTTGTTTATTACTTTCTTGTTGTTTCTTGTGGTTGGTCCCATCTTTACAGTGGTGTGTTTTTTTTTGCTGTAAGCCAACTGAAACACAAGTTGTTAGACTTAAAATACATCATATGGGACGTTTGGTTCAGCAACCAGTGAAGTTGTATGTTGGAGGGATTGTAAATGAATTGAATTGGGATTGGGATGTGGACATGATGTCCTATATGGATATTGAAAAGTTGATTACAGATAAGGGTATTGTAATATAAGGTGTTTATGGTATTGGAATCTGAAGTTTTCTTTTTCTCGTGGACTTCGGCTTTGAATGATGACAAAGATGTGTTAAGGTTCATGGAAGATGTTAGAGGATTTAAACTCGTTGACATTTATAGTGAACACAAAGTTGAAGAAGTTAATATTGAAGATGTTAGGTTTGAATATGCAAATGTTGAAGATGTCAATGGTGGGGATGCAGATGTTGAAAATGTCAATGGTGGGGATGAAGATGTTGAAGAAGTAAATGTTGAGGGTGCAAATGTTGAAGTTGTCAATGGGGGGGATGTAGATGTTGAAGAAGTAAATGTTGAGGATGTCAATAGTGAGAATGAAAATGTTGAGTTTAATGAAGACAGTGAAATAGATCTTGATTATGACATGAGCAATGAGAAGTATGAGGATGATGAGGATGACGGGGAAGGTGAGGATGATTAGTAGAATTTAGGCCCTGATGTTGGTGTTGATTGGACGACAACTAACACTGCAAACACCAGTAGCAAGCCCAAAAAATAACCCATGAATTTGATTTTCATCTTCAACAGCTCTTCGTTTTTTATCTTCATCTTTAAAAGCTCTTCATTTTTCTTTGTGTCACTCATTAAATTCATAAGTTCATCATTATTGTATTTTAAAGATCTAATTACATCCTTTGCCCTGTTGCTCATTTCTTCA